AGAAAGTTCTCAGATTCAGAAGTAGATGATTCTCAGTGGTTCATAATCCGGATCACGGATCATGTGGAAATTATTTTTAAGGGCACGCCAGTCATGATATACCTCCAACATTCAGCACCATTTCTCTTTATAAAGTGGATTCTGGTCGTAAATGATACGTTGATGAGTTAAGCTCAGTAACTGCTTGTAGTATCGAACAAATGTCAGGGCTTTGGTCAGTCATGTCAGATAACAGCCTGTGCAAGTTCTGTGTACTACTTAGATAGTTCTCTCTGTAACAAAACTCTAGAGGAAAGGCACACTGAAGTTTTTTGACACTAGTGCTGACATAGTAGAAGACGAGATGGGACAATGTGTTCCTTTTCAAGCAACTTATGCTGACAACAGTCAAATGAATAAATGATGATTGAACAGGCAAGAAGTATATAAGTAGCAACAGACTGGAACTTCTAATTAATCCTTGCTGTAGACTATGCCGCCTTAGATTTAGAGAAAATCTGTACCGCACAACATTTCCTCCTTTCCTTTTGTGGGTGGAGATTACAAGGAAGAAGAATTCACTTTGATCAGCAAAGCAGTCTGGATGTGATAGACTTCTGGCTGTGTTACATCAACGACTCATCAAAATCAACCCATCTTGAGAATGCTTCAGTAAACACATTGTTCTTCCACTAGACAACACAGAACACCATCCATAACACATTAAAGTGTAAAGTACAGGCACCCTAATGGGACTGCTTTTCACACATTCTAATTTGTGCTACTCTGGTTCTTGCTAATAGTCATATTTTTTTAAACAATAAATCTTTAAATGGAGACATTTTCTCCCAATTCAATGGTTTTTCACAGTAAAGATTCAGGTAAAATGAAAACAACCAATATTAGAAGCTTAACCCCTGGCTCTGTCACCTGCAACATAGATTCCAAAAATACTACAAAATTTATACATTCTTACAATATTATCATTGCAATTACTACAGTATGTTTTTGGTGCAATGCACTGTAAGGGTTAATGGACACAATAACGATAGAGCCAACTAAATAACCAATATCTGTAAGAATATCATTTTATATGATTGTACTAGAAAGACAAAACCTATGATATTTAAAGGTATTGTTGCAAGTAGTTTAATATCTGGGTCAATGAACGCATTCGTAAGACAAAGCTGCAAACATAATACAAAAAACATCAATGGGTCTGATGTCATCAAGCTTTCAGTTGTCTTAGTTTTAATGTTCTGGGTAAAGTGTTTAGGCACTGTTAATTTGTCTTCTCAATCAAAGAAGGATGTATTATTTTAAAATTCATCATGAAATTTTATAATTTCGTTAATAATAAAATGCTACTTAATTAAAAGCATGTTTTCCATCAACATAAAATATCTCTTTTCAGAACCATCACTAGAAGAACTGTAATTATGAAATGTATACAATTCACCAAAATTGAGAGATGCAGCATTTATATTTATTTCACTATTGTTAATATTAAAGTTTCATTTCATTCTATTAACTTTCATGTCTCTGCAGTCTAGAAGGAAGGGTGTACACTCCCTGTCTACCAGGTCTCTTGCAGTCTTTACATGCTGCATATCTCTTTTAGGATATAATATCATTACCGACACCCTGCAAACTGCAATTGGCTGTAGGGAGTCTCGATGTTTGTTTGCAGGCAGCTAAAAGTCTCTGATCAATTTACAGTCCCCTCCAGCCATTCAAACACGGAGGAAAAAATAATTATGTTCCACTTCTTGGCAACTGGCAGATATCATCATACCTTAGTTTCAAAGCAGTGCTGTGCTGTAGAAGTACGCTATTACCATTATTGCCAGACCCTTTCTTGTAAAGGCACAGAAAAATAAAATCATTTTAAAATGTAAAGATATGCAAGTTTGGGAATGGCTTAAAAGAAAGTTTTGCATTGTAAAAAAAACCTTTGAAACATATTTATCCAGCCCAAAACTGAAAAACAAAAAGTCCTGCTGAATTACTGTAATGACTCTCCCACAAAATAAATATTTTAAGAGAATTAGAGAGACTGTGTTTTATAGGTCAGAAAAAGCAATAAGAGGTCCAGTCTCCGAAGCATATACAGGAGTTGTGTAGCAGTGCAAGGCGGATTAATCTGTTTAAGACTGCTCCTTTCGCCCGCTAGCTATGTCTCCCCATCTGACCTGCTGACTGCGCTCCAGCCACTTCAGTCTCAGCTGCAATTGTATTCAACAAAGGAAATGAAATCTAGCAGGGAGAACGTGACGGGAGAGACGGGGTCATGTGACCAGGGCCTCAAGGTACCAGTGAGCAGAGGCTGTTTGTACTGCTGACCGTAAGGTGCATCTGCAGCTGGGAACAGGAAGTGACATATGGGGAAAAATCTGATTTTTTATGTAACTGAAACCAGCCCATCTAATAATCATTTACTTGAGAAAAAAAAAATCAATGTATTCAGTTCATCAGTATCCATCGGCAATTCTGCATTAGTATCTGTGATTCTGATCGCACTATCAATACTGAAAAAACCAACAAGAATTATTCAGATGCATCTGGAAGATTCTCAAATGTGCATTTACAGTCGTGCATTTGCATTTACAGCCTCATCGAATCACGTCTGATCACATTTATGTCTGAGGTCCATTGTAAATGATATACACTGATTGACAGACACCTGGAAGCGGAGGCAGTGGGACGTTATAGCTGGTGTATGGCTTAGTGTAAGAGGGGCAGGTGAATGGGCAGCTCTGTCAGCCGCATGATGAATCTTTGTCTATATATATGATGGACAGTTACAATAGCAATATATGCCCATTTGAGAATGAAGAAAAATGACGTGTCATTTTATTCACTATGGACATAGGTATTTTGTTGTATCCTCACAATCACATGCTGTGAAAAAAAAAATCACAAGGGAAAACAACAGCACATACCCTAGAACAGCATGTCCAATGTCTTTTTCTGCTCTAAGTTGCTTTGGATCACCTGAATACTAAAAAGGTAGCTCTTGTGTACTGTGGCCCAACCCACATGTCAGGAAGAAAGAGTATGTTATTTTTGCTCAACAGTAAAAGCAAATTCACTGCCTAGTTTTACGTAGGAACACAAGGTTCTGCCCCAGAGTTTGTACCGACAGATATTCAGAACGCAACTTTGGAGCTTCACAGACTGGGAGTCACAATCATGACACTGAGGCATAGGTGTTAAGGTACATGTTAGCGCAGGATGGCTATGTGCACACCATTTCAACACAGTATGCATGTGATTTACTTAATACCTACTTTTGTTTTCATGCCATATTCTAGTAAGAATTAAATTATAAAAGACTGAATTCAGCTACATCGTTCCAACTTTAATTTGTGCTCTACGATTACCTTTATTAGTAAGGGTGACATCCGTAGCCTAAAAAAAAAAATGCCATTAAAAGATTTCGTAGGTTAAGTTAAAGTAAGGTAAAGTGCATATTTAACTTATGGTGGAAAAAGCAAAATGACTCAGCAGAACAGAAAGTCTGGGAGCTTGTTCCTGGGGTGGGAGGTGATGGCAGACAAAGAGCTGGAACAGATAGATTAAATCATTTTTTTTTTCATTACAAGACGGGTGAAAAGTAATCCAAAGTTCCTGATGTCAAGGTGTTTGGTTTGCTAAAACCCTGGACAAGGCTCAGCCTTTATCGAGTAATATAATAGCAATGTGCTATTAGTTCTTATAAAAATGCTTTTGTAGGTGTGTGCGAACTTGCTGCACATCTTGACCCCCATCTTCTGAGGGCTTTCATAAAGCCTTCTCACAGCGCTCTGAGGGCGAGTGATCTGACAACTAAACTCAGAGGGACTTGTGCTGTATATGTATATGTCAGCGATTGGGTGAGAGCAAGCTCATTGATGATCACTTAAAAAAAAAAGTTCAACACCTAGCTGGTGCGACTTCCTTCTTTGTTGCATGTCCTGATGGTTCTCTGAACATTTCTTACTGCAGTCCTTCATATTTGCCTTTCCCAAACAACCATATAAATGGTAACCACCTGTCTATCTCCAGCTTACAGCAAATAGCCATCGGCGGTACTGAAACCCCAGAAAAGTTACAACTTCTCTCATCTTCTTGAACCTCCTACTACTATCTGATCTACCAATGCTTTGCTCCAAAAACTTGTTCAGTTTATTGGATACTGAGGTCTTGGATCAGATGATGCAAAGACAGGCTGACAGCACGCAAAACCAACTCAGATCCTGACACCCCTAAGCTGGGAGAGTAAAAGTATATCAAGACCCCCTCACTAACACATCCTGACTCTGTCAAACTGGACTAAGCGCACCTAGAGAGGTCTCCCTTTGACATCTATTGTGCAGTGTCCTCTCCTGCCCTAAATGAAGCCCACATGCTTTAATGACAAAACCTGGAATGGACTGTTAATACAAAAGCAGCTGCAGCCTGAATCAAGGATGACATTTTCAGCATCAGGAAGGTGAGTGATGTATACTGCAGGGTTTCATTTGAAAAACTTAAAAAAAGGGAAGGAAAAAACCATTAGATGGACAGAGTACTGTTACCTGAGAGTCCTCTAACAGTGCTGTACTTTCAGTTATTAAATCCTTGTGAAGATGCATTTTCAAAGATATCAAAGATAAAATCGGCTTGTCATTTAGATCAAACACCTTCGTTCACAGATTTCAAAATCAAGCTTATCGGAACATGATAAAATCACAATGGACAGATAAATCGTAATGGATTTACACTGTACAGAAAATTGCATTTGATTGTGTCTAAATATCTGAAAGAGGTAGTTTAACATTCAACAAGTTCAAGTGAAACAAGTTCAAGAAATGTGTAACAGTTGAATTTGGGCTAACAGAACTTCTGGGCCGGTGCATCTTTGTGCAAACCCTTCTTTTCCCAGAAGCTATCTTAGTCTCTCACTCGCTTTTGTTGGATATACTGGATACATCACATGGTGATCAGAAACAAAAAAAACATAAATAACTAAGAAGGAAACATAATGTAGCTTCACTTACCTGAGCAGACGATCTTCATCAACATGAAATCCCTTCTAGAGTTCTTCTTATAATGACATTTCAGACACTTGAACAGCTGTTTGCCAAGCTCTGCTTTTGACATAGGAGGATAAATCCCTTATCTGGAAGTCAGCAGACATGTAAATAACAGAGAAGAAGATGAGAGTACCAAGTTGCATTCCTCTTCTATTTGATGAAAACCTTGACTCATTGCAGCTCAGCGAGCGGCCACATGGTTTTAGTGCTTATTGGTCCACACACTACAGTATTTAAAAAGACCCCCCATGTACACTGACCAAAAACAGGGGGAACCTATTCCCTAACAAAAATAAAACCCCAGACTAAGAATTCTTACACTTATTCCACATAATAAGTACACACCACACCTATCAGACCCAGAGAGAGTGGTCCCTGTCAGCTTCAGTTTAATTTGAGTAGCCTGGGGGGGGTCTACTGAGGAAGAAAGACAGGAATCAGACACAATGACCCAGCCACTGGTGATTTAGAGAAGCTGGACGTTCTACCCAGCAGATAGTGATGGCCCAGCGGGTGTATGTCCTGTCCTCACAGGTGCCACCAGCCCAGGGCTGCTGTTTCCTGAGTGGCTCCAGTTGGCACTGCTGATAGTGGGCATTTTCAGAACAGGTGGTGGCGTTCCAGAAAAACAACATGCAGGTGACGGTAGCATGTTCCCCGGAACAGCAAGCACGGGTGTCTGGCCTGAGCCATCATCGATCATAATTGATACTGCCTGGCCAGCAGCTGGCAAGAAGCTCAGAAGGGCACACGGCACTAGGAACAACTTAAAATGGTGGGGTTTCATCAACACTGCAATTAGAAACCAGATGAATGATGCATATTATACTGTCTGTCCACACAGTCCTGTATCATAACCAACAATCTGTTGAGTTCATTATTTATTTCACAGAACTGCTCTGATGCAGATCAGGGTGATGATGACCCAGAAGTGATGATGGCAGCTCAGCACAGGGTACGGGTACACACAAAGGGCACCTGTTCACCTAAACAGCATGAGCACTGGGATCCAACCCACAGAAACACAAAACAAGCGACATGCAATGCCGACATGCTTGGAGAGCTCACTCAGGAACCGAACCCTCCACCCTGGAGATGTGACAACACAATGCTATGCACTGAGCTACAAACCCAGCCATTTACTTGCCTCAGGCATGTCATTTAGGTTTCATTCTTCACTTTACTTAACTACTTTCCTCACCATCAAGAGTCAATGGAGATAACATTTAACTCCAACTACAACGATTTGTAACCATTTGTAAACCTCACTGACTTTGCTAGAAATGTAGGCAGACTGGCCATAATATATTTTAATTACTACAGCGGTCCCCGAATCTGACAGTCATAAGTTAATTTTAAGTTTAAATCTTCGGATAAATTCGTTTCCTTTCCACTGTCTGAGTGAGATATACTCACGACACTAAGAGCATGACCTGGTTTAAACTCTGGTGCTTTGCTAGTTCACCTCAGGATGTTTCACTGTCTGAGGTGCAGAAACAATTAGCAGGGATTAGCACTTATTAGCACTGAAAAAAATAGGCTCACAGGTGTAACATCAGATGAGAAGCTGTAGCGAGGGACACATACAGAATCAGCAATAAGTGCTCATTTAGTGTACTGACAATATCAGCTTCCTTACGTTGTATCAGTTTAGGTGAAGTTTTATCTGCTTTTTAGTCATTATAAATAAATACAGGATAAAGATACACAACAATAAAAACAAACAATGCATGCACACATCTATTTAAATATAAAACTTTTAAATATGTTTTGATCAATATATATTAACAAATTGAAAGCAAAATAAAATGAAAATATTCGGTAAACAAAGTAAGACATTTTAAAATACTCAGAACAAAGTAGGAATGACAAACTTTTAAACACCTACGTTTTAAAGTACACTCCAGTTTTCTGATACGCAATAACTCATAAAAACAGCACGAAATAGCCTAGATATACGCACCGGCTGGGAGAGGAAAACAACCCAATTCGACTCGGCTTCGATGTTGTCATGCAGCTTTAAAACTACCAGGAAAAAAACAGTTTCATTCCATTTCTCGAACTAATTCATACAAAAGTACTTTGCAAAGAAAACAGCTTCTAAAAAAAGAAACACGGGCACTTTCGTCAGCTCGTGTCCAAAGATCATCGTGGGAATTTGTATCCCCTTAAAATAACTGATGATATCTCACACGTTCAGGTACCGTTTACATGAGCATTATCTTGCATTGCTTCTGGTACACGGACCGATCTTTAGAGCCCACATTTAGTCTCTTGATAGCACAGCTCGCCGCTTTCGCTCCTTCTCGCGTTCGGGCCGGCCGGCCGCTCGAGTCTATCACAGCACCTCCACCGTACCAATGAGAAGGGCGCAGATCCGGGGCGGGCAGGCGCTACTGTACTGTCCGGCACGATCACCTCATACTCCACGTTATAACAAGTCCAAGCGGCGTTAGCTTCTGTTTGTTTTTGTCCTGATGATTATGAGAATAATATGGAAGCCCGTTTCCGCCAGGTAGTAAAAAAAATATAAGCCACGGAATCTCGCAATTGCGACTTAGTAAGTCGCAATTGCGAGATATAAAGTCGGAATTGCGACTTACTAAGTCGCAATTGCGAGATATAAAGTCGGAATTGCGACTTACTAAGTCGCAATTGCGAGATTCCGTGGCTTATATTTTTTTTACTACCTGGCGGAAACGGGCTTCCATAGGAATAATGATGCTGCTGCTTATTATTATTACTATTATTATTATTATTATACTGTAGGTCTATATATTTTTTTCTTATTATTAGTATTGTTTATTGCTACTATTATTGTTACTTCTGATGAGCACTGTTTCCTTACATCACCAGGGGTTTGCATCCCAGCCCCACTGTGTGTGTGGAGTTTGCATGTAATAACTCCCCATGTGTCCTGTGTTTTCTCTGGATGCGTCTCTTTGCTCCAGTGGTCCCAAGACATGCAGTTAGCATCTCTAAACTGCTGGAAATGCATGTATGTGCCCTGTGATGAACTGGCATGCTGTCCAAGGTACACCCAAGACTTCTGCCCTTTGCATTCTGGGATAGGCCCCAGGCTCCCCTCTGAGGCCCTCAGTGGGATAAGTGATTAGAAGATGGGTGGATTATTATCATTATTATCAACACCTGCTGTCCAGCAATGTGCAAATTGTGCCTGTGTCATGAACTCAGGTGGTTCAGGTGTGAGGATGAGGCATAGTGCAGCCAGGACAGGAATGTGGACGACCCACTTGCGGCTTGCAGGGAGACGGGTTTATTGACAAACAGAAAAACACAAGAAACACTACAAAATAAAAGGACCACGTGGGGTCAAAAGTAAAAGGGGATAAACAAAGACTAATTACAACAAGGGGCAGGTGGGCAGGTAACAAAGAACACAGCATAAGACAACACACCAAACAAACATCAATGACTCCTGTGGCCTGTACTATGAAGCGGGGTTACTTGCTTATCGGATTTAAGGTACCACAGTTTAAATGGACTTCATATTCGCTCACTTACATTTTGCCCAGACTACCTTAAATACGACAAGTTACCCCGATAAGCCAGTAACCCTTCTTTGTAGTACAGGCCACAGGAGTGAGACAGACAATTAACCAATCCTGGAGGGGGCAGGGAAATGAGGGCAGGCACAAAAACAGGCAACAGCTGAAACTAATAATTAAACTCAGGGAACTCTAACAAAGAAACTAAGAAACAGAATCTACACTAGGGGAATAACAGACAGGTAAAAACACAAGCACTAGCACAAAACATGGAACCAAAACCAAATACAAATCACAAGACACAGGAACAAGAAAACTCATACAAATGAACACTAGGGAACAAAATACAAAAACCGAGGAGGTGGGATTCAAACACAAGACAGAGGGGTTTAAAGGCAGCCGCATGCTCAACAAGTTGAGCCATGCAGCTGACAGGCTAAAGACTGACAACACCTGCTGGCCAAACGGGGAAGGGACACAGAGTGGGACAACAAGAGCTGAACCTGACAGCCTGTTAATTATGAGATTTTCATAGTTTTACAATTTGCACTGCTTGCAAAGATAAACATATGGAAGAGGCTTAAAATACTGCAGCATTAAAGTAAATCTTTTGATCGACTTAAGTGTAACTTCAAATGAATAAGGTAACCATATGATGTTTGAAACTGGGATTTTAGATATTAGATTTCACAAATATTAGATATAAATATTAATTACTTTCTATTTCATATGCAATACAACATGCTAAAGACATTTGTGAAGTTGGTGGATTTGTTAAATGTTTATAATTTACAGTTTTTAAACTAGGAAAAACCAGTGGCATGATGCCTGCATAATCGCAATGCCTTGCTCCTCTGAGTAAGCTCCCATGTTCTCCTTGAATTTGCCAAGATGAGCATCAAGGATATGGCCTTTCAGGGACATTCTGCATCCCATTTTGGCGTATTTTTTACGAGAGTTTGAACCAGATGCTTATAGTTTTCAGCCTTGTGATTGCCCAGGAATCCATGAACCACTGCAACGAAACTGCTCCAAGCTGCTTTCTCCTTCCTGTTCAGCTTCTTGGCAAAATTGTCACATTCTATGATCTTCTTTATCTGTGGTCTGAAGAAGACACCAGCTTTGACATTTGCCTCTGACAGCTTCGGAAAGAGATCTTGGAGGTACTTGAAAACTGCTGACTCCTTGTCTCAAGCCGTGACAAATTGTTTGATGAGGCCTAACATGACGTGCAGTGGTGGCATCAGCACCTTCCGAGGGTCTACCAGTGGATTCCACTTGACATTGTTCTTCCCCACAGAGAACTCGGTCCGCTGTGGCCAATCTCTTCTGTGATAGTGCACCTGAGTGTCCCTGCTATCCCAGAGGCAAAGAAAACAAGGAAACTTTGTGAAACCGCCTTGCAGGCCCATCAGGAATGCCACCATTTTTAAGTCTCCAATGACCTCCCAGCCATAGTCGTCATATTTCAAGCAATTCAGCAACATCTTGACACTGGTGTAGTCCTCTTTCAGGTGCACAGAGTGAGCCACAGGGAGAGACAGGTACTGGTTCCCGTAATGAAGCAGCACAGCTTTGAGACTCCTGGATGAGCTGTCTATGAATAGGCGCCATTCACTTGGGTTACAAGTGATTCCTATTGCCTGGAATAGACCGGCCACATTGCTGCAGAAGCACAGCCCATCCTGGTGACTGAAGTAATTGGAAAAACGTTCGTGACGCTTTCTCTGATTTTTGACTTGCACATCTTCATCCACCAAGTTCCACTCCATGAGCCTAGATATCAGAAGCTCAGCATTGGACTTTGTAAGACCAAGGTCTCCGATCAGATCGTTGAGGTCTTTCTGGTTGGGGAAGTATGGCTTTCTATCCTCAGCCATATCTGTGAAATCGTGATCTGCAATATTTTCTTCACCGTCTGACTGGCTGCTCTCTGCTAAAGATGGCTGATCCCTCTCCGGAGGGGTTGGGAATGGGGAGCTCAGGGCAATGTGGTACCAGGGCGATGGAAGAAGGAATGTCTGGATACATGACAGGAGGTGCTTGCTTGCCACTTCGACATTTGGAAGGGTCCACCATGCAGAAGTAGCAGTTGCTGGAGTGGTCAGTTGGTTCCCGCCAAATTCTTGGGATAGCAAACTTCATCGCTATTTTTTATCCCCTGTACCAGCCTTCAAAAGTTTTCTTACAATGTTCGCATGTGAATGGCCATGGCTTGTGTTTGATCCCCGACAGGCATCCTGAAGTATGATGTAAGCCTCGCACATCTTAACAGAGGCTTTCACTGAGTACTTTTTCGCTCTTGTATTGATAAATTGTCCACAAATGTCAATAGAGTTGCAGATCCACTGAGACTCACGTCCACTGAGACGCAGGAAGTGACATCACGTCCACTGACACGCAGGAAGTGACATCACTAATCCACTGAGACGCAGCCATAGATATCTTCTATGATACATCCTACTTTTAGTTCATTTAAAAATGGTTCGCAGTTATCACTTGTTTGTATGCATATACAGTCGTCCCTCGCCACTTTGCGCTTCGACTTTCAGGGCTTCACTCCATCGCGGTTTTTTGTCTATTGATTAAAAAGTTGATCGAGACAATGAAAATGATACATCGCTACGCACCGGAAGCATCTTTGCTCTTCGTAATTAGATGTATAATAATAACAATTATAATGTCTAATATTTATTTTCTATTATTTTTTCTAAT